CCCCAAAACCCCAAAACCCCAAAACCCCAAAACCCCAAAACCCCATTTGGGTTTTCTTAAGTGGAATCAAAATAATAATTAATGGGTGTCTATTTCGTCAATTATTGTTGCAACAAAGGATATGAAGCCCATAACTCCAGACACAATGCAGATTAATAAGTATATTGCTAGTTCCCATTTTGGGACAGCATCACCATATGCCTTCCAATATAAAGCTACTGGTAGCATGATTGAAGAAGTTGGGCCTATAACAGCTCCTGATATATTAATAAAACTTCCTATACCAGGAACTATCTTACTAAAGAAATATCAAAAACATAGTGACAATACAGCTCAAAGATAAAATTTTGACATTGGTTTAGTTTTAAATAAGGATACATAAGAGTCGAACAAACTTGAGCGATATCAAATTTCTCACAGAGGATATACCATTAGAGGTCAGCTAAGTCCAACAGCAGCTGTGTAAGCAACCTTTAAGTAATCTCTTACTGCTTCAATTGAAATTGAATTGATTAAAGGATCTGAAATATGATCTCCATAAGCAAGATAAGGGATGAAACAAACTAGGAAACACAATATTGTAATAAAGATAAGAGAGAAGAATGCCAACACCTTAAAATGCTGTGGCTGTTTCATCGAGTCTTGGATGTTCATGCACACCATATCACCTTCAAACATAAAGACTGCTGCTCCGAAGAATAAAGGGAATTCGAAGAATTCAAGGTAGGTTACATCTTCAAAGTCATTATCAGGAATGTCACTGACTGACACTCCAAGGATTATGAATAATCAGTGGATAATCAGAAATATAGCTATAGTTGAAAAGAATGAAATAGATTTTAAATCCATAAACATTCATGTTGGGATCAAGGCCGCCAGCATCGCATATGCTTTAAAGTACTCATCAAAGAACTTCATGTATGCTGTCACAGTCGACAACTGAGATATAGCCAAGATTAATGTACAGAAATAATATCCAGAATCTCCAAATCATCTTTGCCCAATCTCAGCATATGATTTCAAGTAGTTATTGCAAATTAAAATTTGTGTTGTGTCTAAAGAAGCATGATCAGTATTTGGTAAAGAAATCATAGACCTGTTACTCTGTTCATCCATGCTAATTCCTTCACTATGTTGCTGACTTTCAATTCTTCTAGGGATGTTTACAGAGTCCAATGTTTGTCTTCCAACATATTCTTCATTTTGGTAATCATCTTTTAGAAGCTTCTCTCTTGCATTGATGGTCAGGTTTGTCCCGATAATAGACAACGAAGAAGTAAAGAGAATAGCAATGGATGCATTCACTATTCCTGCACGCTTTACTCATGAAGAAATTGAGACCACACCAATTCCTAGGAAGGATTTAATGAAATTAAACATAGCTTGTCCAAAGTTACTGTCATGCCGCACTATGCTTTGGCCAGTATACTGGGTATTCACTTCATTGAAGGAGAGATTGACAGATTCACTGTGAGTAAAGCTGGCATCAGCACCTGTAAATGTATCATATGAACTCATCTGATCAGGCTAAAAACTTATTACATCAATCTTTAGTAGTCATAAAAATTTAGTATCAAAATTTAACTTACAAGTGATAATATATCAGTTTTAATAATATTAGGATCTCTCTTTAGCCGAATTCCTTTATCTTTTGTAATACTTGTTATTGACTCTTTCATTTATAATTTTTTCCTGATATTTCAATTATAATGAGCAAAGTCGGGGTTTTGGGGTTTTGGGGTTTTGGGGTTTTGGGG